AGAAAAAAAACAACACGAAAAAAACCACACGTCAGACCACACGGCGTTTTAGTTCTCTTGGTGGAGGAGCCTGCGGCCACACGATGCCACACTGCCTCATTTACCCCTGCCCTCCACTCATCACTCCCCTGCGGCCACGCCGAGCTGGGCTCACCCCTGCTTCCGGTACAGGCACAGGCACAGGCTGTGCCCTCTGTGTCCCCCGCCCGGGCGCCCTTCCCTGAGGGCTTTCTCCCTCACCTCCCTTAGGTCTTTGTTCGGGTGTTACACCTCCCCTGATCACCCCAGTTGACGTTGTGTCATCCCCCCTCCTCTGCACTTCCAATCCTCCCGACCTGGTTCTCCTTCTCAAAGTATTAGCACTGATCACTTTCTAGCATGATATATAATTTACTTTTGCATTATGTGGATTATCTGTCTTCTACTCTTAGAGGGCAGAAATCTTTTCTGTTTTGTTCACTGATGTTTCCTGAGCACCTAGAAGAGTGCTTGGTATGTAATAGGTACTCGATAAATATGTGTTGAATGAATACATGATTCTATTTCTGTAGCAGCTTTGTTATGATATAATTCCTACAGCATACGATTCACCCATTAAAGCACACAGTTCAGTGGGTTTAGTATATTCACTGAGTTGTGCTCCCATCAGCACAGCCAATTTTGGAGCATTTTCATAACCCTCCAAAGAAACCCTTTAGCTGTCGTTCCCCAATCTCTCTAGCCCTAGGCAACCGCTAATCTGTTTTCTGTCTCTATAGATTACTGTCTTCTGGACATTGCATATAAACGGGATCATATAATAGGTGGTCTTCTGTGTCTGGCTTCTTTCCCTTAGCGCAGTGTTTCCAAGGTTCATCCATATTGTAGAAGGTATCAGTACTTCATTCGTTTCTGTATTGCTGGATAATATTCCACTGTATAGATATATCATATTTTGTTTATCCATTCATTACCTGATGGACATTTGGGTTGTTTCTACTTTTTGGCTGTTATGAATAATGCTGCTGTGACCATTCATGCACAATCCCTTTTGTGTGGACATATATTTTGATTTCTCTTAGGTGTATACCTAGGAGTGGAATTGCTGGGGCATATGGAAACTTTACTTTTAACCTTTTGAGGAACTGCTAGATTGTTTTCCAAAGTGGCTGCGCTATTTTACATTCCTCCCAGCTGTATATGAGAATTTTAATTTCCCTGCATCTTCACCAACATTATCTTTCTTTTTGATTATAGCCATCCAAAATGGGTGTGAGGTGGTGTCTCATGTGGTTTTTTAAAAAATTTTTTTTCTCATGTGGTTTTGATTTGCATTTCCCTGGTGACTAATGATTTTGAGACTCTTCCATTTGCATATTTGTATATCTCCGTTTGCTTAGTTTTTTTGGAGAAATGTCAGTTCACATTCTTCGCCCATTTTTAAATTATCTGTCTTTTTATTATTGTTGTTGTAAGAGTTTCTAAATATATTCTAGATGCAAGTTCCTCATGATTTGAAACATTCTCTCCTATTCTGTGGGTTGCCTTTTCACTTTCTTGATCTGTTCCTTGAAGTGTAAAAGTTTTACATTTTGATGAAGTCCAATTTATTTTTCTTTGATTGCTTGTGCTTTTGATGTCACACGTAAGAAACTATTGCCAAATACAAACTCATGAAAATTTATCCCTATGTTTTCTTTTACGAGTTTTATCGTTTTCACTCTTACATTTATGTCTATGGCCCATTTTGAGTTATTTTTTTATACGGTGTGAAGTAGGGGTCCAACTTCATTCTTCTGTGGATTTCCAGTAGTCCCAGCACTGTTTGTTAAAAAGACAATTCTCCCCCTATTAAATGGTCTTGACATCCTTGTTGAAAATCAGTTGACCTGGGACTTCCCTGGAGGTCCAGTGGTTAAGACTTTGCGCTTCCACTGCAGGGGGCATGGGTTTGATCCCTGGTCAAGGAACTTAGAGCCCTCATGGTGTGTGGCATGGCCAAGAAAATAAAGAAAGTAAGAAAGAAAGAAAGAAAGAAAGAAAGAAAATCAATTGACCATAAATGTGAGGGTTTATTTCTGAACGCTCTGTTCTATTCCGTTGATCTATATATCTGTCCTTACGTCAGTACCACACTGTCTTGATTATTGTAGCTCTGTAGTAAATTTTGAAATTGGGAAGTGGGAGGCCTCCAATTTGTTCTACTAAAGATTGTTTGGCTATTCTAGGTCCCTTGTATTTCCATATGAATTTTAGAATCAGCTTGTCAGTTTCTGCAAAGAAGCCAGCTAGACAGAGATTGTGTTGAATTTGTAGATCAGTGTGGAGGAATATTGTCATCTTAGCACTGTTAAGCCTTCTAATCCATGAGCAGGGGATGTCTTTCCATTTATTTAGATCTTAAATTTCTTTTAACAGTGTTTTGTAGTTTTCAGAGTATAGGTTTTGCACTACTTTTGTTAAATTTATTCCTAAGTATTTTATCCCTTTGATGCTATTACAAGTGGAATTGTTTTCTTAATTTCATTTTTGGACTTATTCATTGCAAGTGTATACAAATTGATTTTTGTATATTGATCTTGTATCCTGCAACCTTGCTAAATTTGTTTATTAGTTCTAGCAGGGGTGTGTGTGTGTGTGTGTATTCCTTAGGATTTTCTATGTATGAGATCATCTCATCTGTGAATAAAGATAGTTTTATTTCTTTCTTTCCAATCTGGATACCTTTTATTTTATTTTCTTGCTTAATTTCCCTGACTAGAACCTCAAGTACAATGTTGAATCGAAGGAATAAATGAATTTTAATTAATCCTCACATCATCCCAGTAAAGTAATTATAGTTTTTTGTTTTTGGTTTTTTTCCTTTTTTGCGGTACGCGGGCCTCTCACTGTTGTGGCCTCTCCCGTTGCGGAGCACAGGCTCCGGACGCACAGGCTCAGCGGCCATGGCTCACGGGCCCAGGCGCTCCGCGGCATGTGGGATCTTCCCGGACCGGGGCACGAACCTGTGTCCCCTGCATCGGCAGGCGGACTCTCAACCACTGCGCCACCAGGGAAGCCCAGTAATTATAGTTTTTATTCCCATTCGACAGATAGCCAAACTGAGGCTTAGAGAAGTTAAGGCCCCACAGCCTACCATCTGGCGAGCGGTAGGCTGTGGAGTCAGCCCAGAACTGCTCCCTGCAGTTTACTTGTTGGAATGCCTTCTCCTCCCACAGTACTGTCTCTAAAAATGGTGGGGACTTGGAAGGAGACCAAGGCCAAGCTGATTGATGACGTCCAGAGGGTTTAATGACAAACTCTGAAAGTCTCACTAGCAGCACTAAGTTCCTCTCTGTGTGGCTGGATGACCCCCCCATATGGACACGTGTAGGCAAGAGAGCAGAATGGAGATTGTAACGCTTGTGCGTCCATATCTCATTTCACCCTCTAGCAGCCCTGGCAGGTAGAAGGGGTGAGTTTTATTGTCCCCACTTTACTGATGAGGAACAGATGCTCAGGAAGGCTGAGTGGCTGACCTGGCCTCTGGGAAATGCTGGCATGGTAGGGATGGGGTGGGAGGTGATGTGGATTGAATATCTTCCATGCACCAGAGACTCCGCTGGACACTTTACATACCATTTGTGCTTCATCCTCACGCAGCACCACCATCTCCTTGCTGCTGCTCAGAAAACTGATGGTTAAAGGGGCTAAGTGAGTGACTCCATGCACACCCAAGGCCCGAGACAATTAAGGAAATTCATTAAGGGGAAACAAACATGGAATAAGCCCCATCCCCACAAGGCCAGCCTTGCCAGGTTCTGTCTCTCCTTGAGATGTGTCCCCTCACTGTCTCACCCCCCCCCCGGCCCCACCCACTGTGGTTTAGCTGCTGTCAAGAGAGGCTGGATAATGTTTCAGGGGAAAGCTGAGACCTGCTCACATGAACTCCTGCCTTTTCCGAGAGAAGTCTGACTAATCCAGTCCCTGTGACTAATTCTCTCCCTGACTTTATCTTTAGAATTGATGATTAACCGAAATGGGTTAAGTTGGTCCCATTTCAGCCCCATTTCAGGGAACCTGGCAGTTCCCTGGGGGAAGCGGGGTTAGGGGAGGAGGGTGATAATGGCTTTGGCGTCTCGTAGGCGTGAGGGTCTTTGAACTGCTGGGATCTCAAAGTTTCCAGCAGACGGGCCTGGGGCCAATCCCACGTGGGAACTGCAGTCTCTTATGCTGATGTCAAGGTGATTCCGTTTGGATGCTGGGGCAGCACCAGATGCCATGGGGACGGACGTACACAGGGTGGTCCCCTTTTTACAAACGTGAGGGGTGATGCTGTGGGTGAGAATTCTGGGAAGATGATGCTGGCCTCTTTGTGACTTTCCTTTCCCTCTGTATTCCAAGATCCAGTATTCTGCTCCAAGATTATGAAACTCCCGGCAGGGTGGGGGAGGGATAACCTGGGAGTTTGGGGTTAATAGATGCAAACTGTTACATATATAGAGAATGGATGGACAATAAGACCCTACTGTATAGCACAGGGAACTATATTCAATATCCTGGGATAAACCATAATGGAAAAGAATATAAAAAAGAATGTATATATGTGTATAACTGAGTGGCCTTGCTGTACAGCAGAAATTAACATAACACTGTAAGTCAACTATATTTCAATTAAAAAAAGTAAAAAATAAAACCCTAAGCCCTCCAAAACTCCCTGCAGGCAGGGACAGAGTTGACAAAGCTGTGAAGTGCTGTAGAGAGGCTGCTGGCCAGGAATCCACCCACCCAGCCCACCCTTCAGACCCTCACCGTCTGGAGACCCAGATTGGAGTAGACAGAACCTGGACTTTGGAGTCAGAGCCTTGGGCAACTCACCCTCCGTCTGGCCTTCAGCCGTGATTTTGTATTTTTGATCCTCAGTTTTCCCATCTTAGAGCTCACTTAGTCCAGGTTCACTTTTCAAAAGAAGGCACAGAATTTTGGGGTCGTCACCAAAGCCACACAACGAGTCAGTGACAGGAGGGCAGGGCGGTAACTTCTGTTGCTGGCCCACGATATGCCAGGCTCTTCTGGGGCCACCCTCTCATCCTCTCCTCACAACTGGCCTCAGAAGAGCTGGCGTTACCCCATCTGACAGGGAAGGAGAAAGAAACTCGGGTGGGCGGGTTCCTCTGCTGAGGCCACACAGCAAAAGGCAGGCAGAGCCAGGCTAGAATCCACATGTGCCTGACTGCAGGCCCCGTGTGGGTCCCACGATGCGCAGGGATGGATGAGTCCTTGGGCCTTTCCCTCTGCCAGCTGGCTCTCGGCTCGGCCACCACCATTGCCTCCTGGATGCTTGAGCAGGGGCCTTCTCTGCCTGGGGCAGGGGACGGTGTCAGCTGGGGGAGCCCGGGGAGGAGGCGGAGAGGAAGGGGACGGCCTTCTCCTGCCCCCCAGACCGCTCCGCGCGCTCTCCCTTTGCACACAAGCCTAATCGCGAAGAGGAGCCTGGGGCCCGTGGAGGCTGTCAGCTCCTGCAGCGTCTTGGCAGCCTCCTATCTGGATGGTGTGTTGTATGTTACGTGTTTAGATCACAGACAGTGGGGTGTTCCCTTGGCATCCAGGGCTGAGAGTTTGGGGGTTTTGCATGGTGAAAAAAAGAGCCCAAGTGCCTCCTGTGCCCGGTTCCTCCAACCTGCATGTCAGGAGAGACTGGGAACAGCGGCCCCCAAGCCTCGGTGACTTGAAACAGCAGCAGGTGACTGCTCACTCCTGCCTCAGGTCACTGCAGGTAGCAGGGGCTTGCTGTGGCCACGCAGGGACCTGGCTGATGGGGCAGCCACCATCTCAGGTGCACTGGTCCCTGCGCTGGCGGGCAAGCGAGAGCTCCGGGGTCCTGACCTGGGTATGAAATGTTCCGGCCAGAAGTGACGTGTTACTTCACAGCTCATGGGCCACAACTAGTCCCATCCCCGCCTCCCACCCCCAACCAGGGTGGGACCGAGGGGCAATCCTGCCACATGCTGTGAGGGGAGAGCGGGTCATAGCAGCGAGGACCACCGCAGCGGGGGCAGAGAAGTGGGACCAGGGCTCTGTGAGGTGGGGGACTTCCCGTCATGGGCTGCCCAGCAAGCAGGGGGTCTGGCGGGTGTTCCTGAGGCCTGTGCTGGCCTCCTGCGGGGGTCTGCATCGTTCCTGCTCGGGGGGAGAGACTGCAAACGGGGCCCAGCCTTTTTTCTTGGAGCAGAAGGAAGAGGCGGCAGAGTGAACTCTGCTGTGTTTTTCTTTTAGAATTGGCTGGGATTTGCAGACAAGCTTTCTGATCTGGGGTCGGGAGTCTTGATTAGGGCCTAAGCACAAGGTCCCAGAGGAAGGAAACGTGCCTGTTCCCGCTTTTCTGTGGGGTGAAATGATGCTCTGCCACCGCATGCTTGACAGACAGAGGGAGTTAATGGGCCAACACTGAGCCCGGAGGTCACAACTTGACCTTGTGGTTGACTTCCTTCCAGCCCCTTTCCGTCTATTTACACATGTTTTTGTTCTGTTTTGTTTCATAAAATTGGGGTCATGTTGTTGGCAGCTTACTTTTTCATTTAACAACATATTGTGAGCACTTCCCCTGGTCATTCTCTGCAAACGTCGTTTTTAATGTTTGCCTAATAGCCCATCCGGCGGCCGTCCCATCATTTTCTCTCTACATTGCTGTTCTAGCTTCAAGGAATTCAGTATGGATTCCCTTTGTGGAGTCCAGCCCAGTCTGAGAGAGAGGAAGATTATAGAAATGGCCCTGGCCAGTGCCATCTGTGCAGAGACCGGAAGAGCTCAGAGGGGCCAGGGTCCCACCTTGGGGACTTGGCGGAGACCAGAGCTGTCTGTGTTCCTTCACTCTGTGTCCTCAGTCCGACTCTGCTTTGCGGCCCCTCCCCCAGGCATGCCCGTCTCAGCCCTGGTGGGGGTGGGGTAGGGTGGGGGGCTTCCTCACCATCACACCCACATGCCTGGAGAAGCACAGATCACCCAGGACCTGCCTTTCTGGCTCTGGGCTGACTTCCTCGTGGACAGCGGGCTTAGGACCTAAGCCTGTGCCCGGGGAATTTCCCATCTCCCTGACCTTGGAATCTACTTTGCTCACCTCTTTGTTACCTCCTTCTGCCCAGAGCCTGCTTTAATTGAGGAATTCTCTGATACAAGATGGAAAAAACCCAAGGGTATGAAAGTCACTGCACTTTATAGCATTTTAAGGGCCTTTTAAAAACAATGTTCATTCACTTTTTTTCTTTTTTTTTTTATGAGCTTTTTGGTACACACAGCACATAATCCCACAAGAAATGGTTGAGCATTACACTGGCGTAAAAACCCAGCGTGGATGTGAACCGCGGTGGAGTTATGGGCCCGCTTCCGTGGGAGAAGCCTCAGTTCTCCAGCCCTGAGGGGGTTCCTGAGGGCAGCCCTCAGGTGGTCGAATTCTTGGGGAGGGAGGCTCAGGCCCCCTTCCTGGGGGCTGACTCTGATGTGGCTTGAACCCTGACCTCCAGAGTCAGCTGCATGAGCTGTTTTGTGCTTGTCCCTTTTCTCATCATTTGTGAACAGTCTGCGTTGCTTCCGTGAGGCAGGCTGGGAAAGCCGGTCCCATGTCGTGGCTTCTTTAATGTGGCCCCTGGATGGTGGCTTGATGATTGACCGGTCCATAGGCCGAGAAGGGGTGATGACTGTGTGCAGAAGTGAGGAGATTGGACCAGCTTGGCCACAGATCCCAGACCGTTGTGGGGTTTGAGGGCACTTACACCTGGGAGGCCCCCAGCCCGGTGCGTGGTGCCACCCGGGGCGGGTTAGCACGCAGCTGCGGCTCAGGCCCAGGTTGGCTGGGAGTGGGAGACGCTCCAGTTCTAAGTATCCTCATAACCGTGACTCTTCCATTTACGCTCTTACACCGCAGCGCTGTCCCACTTGTCCTGCACGTTCCAATATTTCATTATCCTAAGTGGATCTCCCAAGTCACCTCCCAAACCCACAAACTGCACACACTTATTTTGTCAGAGCTTGAGATCTGCGTTTTGCTTTGCAGAGCAGAATAGAGTTTCTGTTCATGGCGTGTTCACTCTGTACCAGGCTTGCCTCTGCTGCCTAGCAGCCCAAGCGGTGGGGGCTCTGCCAGCGAGACCATGAGACATTCAGAGAGGTTAAGTCACTTGCCCAAGGCCACACAGGAGACAGGCCCTGAGCTCGGAGCAGACCGGTTCCAAGACCAAGGATCGGGAGCCCCTTTGAAAATCCAGTGGGGCCCCCGGGGCAGCTGGGAGTTGGAATAGCACCAGTGAACGTGTGTTTCCGAACAGATAGGGCTGTGGCTGCAACTCTGCCACCTCCCGGGACACCCCCCTCCCTCTCCTCGCCCAGGGCAGGGTGGCTTCTTGGCTGGGGTGGGTGGGACAGAGCTGACCCCTGCCGGCCTCCAGCCTGGGCTCCAGCGCCCCCTCTCAGGATCGCCCTGACATTCCTCAGTGTGCGCCTGCTTCCAGGTCGCTGTTGGGACTCCTCTTTCCGTCCCGGTCTTTATTTTCCTCCGTTAGAAGGGCTTCGCGTTTACTGATTGTTGTCTCCGGACCTTCCATTTTTCTCTGCAGCTCCTGCAATCTGAAAATGAGTCTTCCAGCCTCGTTAGCCACTGTATTCTGAAGAGCATCCGACCTTTCCCTGATCAGCTCCAACTAGTCGTGGCCGGTGGCTTCGACTGAGCTGGGCCAGGGAATGGGGGCTGCAGTGCCGGGGGCTGCCTGGAGGCCGCAGGCGGGCCCAAGGGATGGATGACACCAGGTGCCCGCCGGGCACCACCCCTGCTGCCTGTCTCACCGCCTCTCCCACCTCTGCTCCTCCCCTCTGCCCAGGGGTCGAAGGCACTTGTCCCTCAACGTGACAGGAGCTGCTGGGCCTCACCGTCAGGTGCCGGGCTGCGGAGGAGGCTGCCGCTTGTTGGGAGCCCAAAGCCCGGGTCCGTAGATGGCACAGGGGATGGAGCCAGGGCTTTGGGGTCAGTTAGGTCTGGTGGCAGGAGGCCTGCCTTATCTCTCTATACGTGGGTGGAGGGAGCGTAAGAGCGCTGGCGCTCGTGCTGCCGTGCGTGGCGGCGCTCGGGATTACGTTGTGACTGTGGTGGTGGAGTGGGACCACGTCTGTGCCCCTCGCTCTGCGTCCGGTTTGCGGTTCATGGAGCCCGGCTGCGCTCTGGCGGGGGCTTCCCGTTTTGCGGCCTATGGGGCGGGAGTGGCTGGGATTGGGTGGGGCGTGGCTGCCAGGACTGTGGATCTGACCTCCATTCTGCCCCTTGGCCAGTGGGAGAAGAGTCAAAACACTCGGAGAGATTTCCTCCACTGGGTCTTTCTGTGCAAATAAATAATCCTTCAGGCAGAGCTGGGAGAGAAGTGCACGCATCAGAGGAAGTGAGGTTTCAGGGCTGCTTCCGTGGAAGTGAGGTTTCAGGGCTGCTTCCGTGGTGCCCTCAGCTCCTCTGCAGCAGAGTATCTTCCAGCATTTTCTGCTTGAGAAGTTGCTGCAGCAGGGCCTCATTTTGGAGCCAGAGCTCATCTTTTTTCACTGGACAGATACATCTTGGGTGTCTACTCTGTTTCAGGCACACTGCTTGGGGCACCCCACTTCCCGGGTCCAGAACCACCTGGGTCCTGCCGACTTCCGGCCCCGGCAGCCCTATCGGTGCCCCAGCTCCTAGTAGGAATTTGGGAGGCAGGCAGTACTCCACCCCTCACCGCGGCCAGGTTGGGTACTCAGGTGCACACCACGTGCTTGAAGTTCACGGCCAACCTGAGGGGCTGCCGGGCTGTGTGGGCTTCTGGAGAGCTCTGCGGGGTCCAAGGTGTCATCCCTCCCTCTGCCCTGTTTGATCAATGATTTGTTAGCACTCTCTTGGCTGGTCTGCCTCACTCTCTTGTTTACCATTCGCTGTTAACAACAGTAATTACAGTATAGTTGTGAGATGAAAACATGACTAAATTATGACACTGCTTGTGTAACAGTCTCTTAAAACTGACTCAGAAGGCAACAGCTGCACAATTAGGCTATAAATTCTCTTCAATGAACGTGTCGGTGGCCACGGTACCTGTGTGGCAGCGTTGTGCGGGAGATAACTAGGCTTAATGGGCTCGGAGAGCGAGCATCCAGGATGGCCTCGTAAAGAAGGAAACTTTGTTCTTTGCCATAAACCGCTTGTTCTCTTATAAAAACAAAGGGCTCAGTGTTGGACCATTAACTCCCTCTGTCTGTTAGGGACCGCGGTGGCGGAGCATCGTTTGACAAGCGGACACCAGGCGTCCTCTCCTGCCTTGAGGTGTGGCCTTCTCTGAGCCTCCTGTGGATGCAGTGCCAGCAAGAGGCCTGGGTGGGATTTAGTGAGTAGCGGGCGGCAAGCGTGGCCTCTGTGGGGGCCCCGGCGAGCTTCTGCAGGCCTCCAGATGGGCTAGCGAGGCCTGCCACTCTGACCTTAACAACCCATTGAAGATGAAATCCCTGAGGCAGGGCACCTGCCAGGGATGTGGGTCTGGGAGCTGTAAAGCTGTGAGGTTCAACGGGGGATGAAGGAGGCTTTCCTCCAGTTTGTTATTCGAAAGCAAACGTTGTATAGCACAAAACTAAGAAGGATGAAGACCGGCAGGCTGTTAAGGACTTTTGTCCCCGCCCTACCCTGACTTCGGTTGGCGCCTGACTCAGTGACACTCTCATGGGAGGCTCTGCTGTCTGTCTCCACACGGCTCTCAGAAGGGCATTCACTTCCTTTTGCTGCCGTAACAAATTACCCTGGACTTTGTGGCTTAAAACAGCACAGATTTATTATTTTATGTCTCCAAAGTCAGAAGTCTGACCTAGATCCCACCGGGCTAAAATCAAGGAGTGGACAGGGCAGCTTCTAGGGGCCGCCTGCATCCCTCGGCTCCATCTTCAAGGCCAGCAGTGGCGGAGACCTTCTCCTGTCATCTCTCTCTGACCCTGTCTCCGGCCTTCTTCTGCGCTTCCATTCTTGAGGGTTCATGTGATTGCATTGTGCCCCGGACAACCCTCCCATCTCAGGATCAGCCGATTAGCAGCCTTAATCGCACCTGCAGTCTGAATTGCCTTTTGCCCTGTAGCATGACATATACACAGGTGCTGAGGGTGACGACGTGCACATCTTTGGGGGGGGCGGTGTTCTCCTGACCAGAGTCAGGGGAGAGCAGGACCATGGGCCAGTTTGACCTCTGTGCCCTCTGAGCTCACACGGGCAAGGCTGGGACTTGAGGAAGGTAGAAATGAGCTGGTCTTACTTGAAATCAGAAAGAAGGAAGCGCAGCTGCGTCAGTTGCATGGCCTGTCCATGCAGGGGGCTGTCTACACTGCAGATGTGACTTGCGTTTTCCAGGAACTCCTGCCCAGGGACAGAGTGTGAACTCGTGTGAACAAAACCCAGAAGCGGATGTACCCCACAGTGTCATGGACTGTGCCAGAACCTTCCTGGATTAAAATCACAAGTGGGGAGGGTCAGTGGCAACCTTTTCCTCTTGGAGAAGGTGTAGATCAGGAAGCTGGCTTTAAAAGATTGTTCCGTGTTAACAGTTTTCGAAATAAATGAACACACAGCAAACCCCAGATGCGCCGCAGACCCACTGGTGGGAGTCATGGCCGTGGGCTTGATAACTCACCGTTCGGGGACTACAGAGCTTTTCATCCACAGCCGTGGACCAACAGGCCCCCTCCACTGTCTCCCAACCCAGCCTGGATAGGAGGCTGCTGGACCTTCCTCTCAGACAGCTTTCATGATGATTTGCAGGCATCTCCCTGGACCTGTCCGCACAATGGATTTCTGGAGCATGTCCTCAGGGACCTCTAGCTCCAGGCCTATTACTGAAGTCCGTAACCCAGAAAATCTGTTGACGGAACTGTTCTCTCTGAACTGCAAGCAAATTGGGAAATTGGAATGTGATGCAATAAGCTTCAATAAAACGGAGTCTCCGAGAAGTGCAGGAGACGCATCTCCTCCCAGCCCCCGTCTGCCACGCTGCCGCAGCTTCCCGAGCTGTCATCCTTGAGGGTGGCCACATACGGTATTTATTTTTTTTAATTAAGCTGCGTTGCCGTGTGACCCACCCTCCACAGGTGCCTTACAAAGCCCAGCCGTATACGTTGCTGAAAGTTTTTTATTTTTTTTTAAGCGGATAGTAAAATTAAGCAGTTATTAGTATTCACGAAAAATGCTCATGGCAGGCTTCGTACACGTAATGAGAAGCCACCTGCAGTTCAAAGCAGTACTTGATAATGCTGTAATTAGATTTGAGATGCAAAAAAGCTCATTAAAATTAAATAACATATTTGTCACTGTTTTAAGAGGTACAGATTGCCTAGAACCATGCTGGTCTCTTGACCTTGAGTATTTTGGCGGAGCCCTTGCTGCCAACAATTGGAAAATAACGTCAGCAGTTCTGCAGAGAGTCCTAAAAACATGTTCATCCTCGGTTCAGTTTGAGTTGAAAAAAAAATGATATAGGTGTCCAGGGGAAGTCACGGGTTTGTACACAGTGTGATCTGGGAGAAAAGGGGAACCAGAGTCCTCTCCGAACAGGCAGTTCAAGTAACACCAAGGGAGGATGAGCGTGTGTATGTGGGGACACCGTGATGGGGTCTGCAGGAAGCGGCGATGGTGGCACCGGGCACCACTGCTCAGCCCTCTGGCCCCGACTTGGACGAAGCCGCTTGCTCAGAGCAGGCCCAGGACTACTGAGGATCAGACCATCAGCAACGCAAGTGCCGGTGAGATGTGTCCCAGACTTCCAGAAGGTCACAGTCTCGTTGGGCAGACAAGGCACAGAAGAGTCAGGTGCCAGGGAAGCGTGTAAAAATAGCTAATGTTTACTGAGTGTGTCTTGCATACCAGGTGCAAAGCGTGTGGCATGCATTCTCTAGTCCCTCGCCACGGTCTAGGGGGGTGGCCCCGGCTGTCCCGTCTTCCTTGGGGAGGTTAAGGCACTTGCCTGAAGTCACATAGTCAGCGTGTAGCTGAGCCAGGATTCAGATCCAGGTCGGACTCCTGCAGCTCCCCTGCACTGGATCACAAAGTAGCTGGGTTGCCATGGCCAGAGCAGAGACCTTGGGTGGGAGGAAATACCCAGGAACCTATCAGAACACCCTGAGTGCCCACTGTTGGACTGAAACTGTTCTAGAAACTTCATGTCTCTGAATCATTTCATCCCCATAGCAACCCTGTTACTCCATTTTACAGATATGGAAACTGAGGCATGAGGAGTCAAATAATCAGCCCAAAGTCACGAAGCAGCTGGCTACAGAGCTGGGATTAAGCTCTGCCCTTGACAAATATTCTGTTATCGCTTCTCTCTTGAAATCTGTAAAGCATTCTACAAAGGAAGGATATAATTTAGGTGCAATCGTGATTATTTTTATTCTTGGAGGAAGAAGATGCAAGTTGCATTCAGGGGGCAGAGTCCAGGGGAGCTTCCCTGGAACAGAGAGCTCTTAGCTGGAGGTGAGTGGATGGCCAGGTGGTTGGAAAAGGTGTCAACAGAGGCCTGGCTGCGCCTCCAGGGAGAGCCAGGCCTCAGCAGTCCTCGGGGCAGTGAGCCCAGCCGGCCTGTGGCCCGCTGCCCCTCCCCCTGGGGGCTGGCTTGATTTTCCAGGATGACTCTCTTGGCACTGGGTCCAGATTTAGTTCAGTGGAGAGCTCGTCTTTCAAAGTCCTGCTCAAATGTCACCTCCTCTGCAAAGACTCCCGCCACCCCCAAAGCAGAATTAATCACCCCTCCTCTTGGCTCCCACAGCTCTGGTGATACCTCCAGAATAGTCTTATCACATCGGACTCGGATTTATGTGTTTACAAGTCTCTCTCCAGCTCACAGGGACTTCTCAAGCACAGGTCCCCTGCCACTCTGCCTTTGTGTCCTCCTGCCTGGGGCAGTGCTGTGTATGCGTTGGGTACTAAATAAATGATGAGGGCACAAATGACGGACCGAGAAGAGATTGAATTTGATTTAATTCGGCAGACACTTATGTGCAGGTCTTGCCGTGAGCCCTTCACGTGGATGAACTTATTAGTCTTTGTGACAACCCTGTGAGATCAGTTCTCTTATCATCTCCATTTTACAGGTGAGGAAACTGAGGCCCAGAGAGGTTACGTACCTTCTCCGTATCATACAGATAGTAAGCGGTGGAGCTGGGATTAAACCCCAGGCAGTCTGGGGTGGGCACACCTGCTTAAAGCAATCTTGCAGATAAGCCCATTCTGATCGTGAGTAGTGATTCTTACTAGCAGAATCTCTGGAATTAATCCTTATTTCATTTATAAAAAATATCTGAATTTAGGTAGGTTTGGGCTGTGATGCAATTAAGGTTCCTTGGTTGTAAGCCACAGAAATCAGCTCTAGCTAAATTAAGTGAAAGTGGATTCTACTGTGAGGATCTGGGTAGTTTGCAGAGTGGATGCACTGGAAGGAGGAGATTTGGGAAGGCCAGCGGACCTCCTAGCAGCAGCCGAGGATGGACTTGCTGGGATGCACTTGCCCCTGCTCTGTCCTCATGTCACCACTCCCCCACCCCCGTGTAGACTCCTTGGCTCCGTGGCCCATCACCATTGTGTCTGTGCGGTGAAGCGGGGAAGACCCACACTGTTCAGAGAGCTGTTCAGACTGTGACCATGGAGATGGGTGCTTCTTTGTCCTCCCCCACTGTTCACCCCCCTTCACACCCGCAGCCTGGTCACAGGGCCTAGGGGCACGAGGGCGCAAGCCTCACAGTCATATTTCCTTGAGACATAGTTGTGGAGTTGGGTGTGGGCAGGGTGATTCTCCCTGAAAGGAATATTCACCGGCAGCGGCCTTTCTTAGGTTTTTAACATTTTGAGGGGATTGATTGAATTGATCCAAGCCCATTCATTGTTATCCTCCAAAGGACAGGAATACCACAGGGCCAACCCAGCCTGGAGGTTTGGCAACGGGGGCAAACCCAGGCTAGATGGAGTCTCTCTCTCACTGGGTTGGCACCAGCCTCTGAAACGGGAAGGTGGGACCAGGCTGTCCCAGGGGCCCTGGGCAGACTGAGCGGACCTTCTCAGAGGTTGTTGCCCTGGTCCAGGACCGGGTGGAGGGGCGCCATTTCCAGGGGTGGTAGAGGGGCTGCTGTGCATTGCTCCACGGTAGCCAGTCCAGGGCCTTCCGGGATGGGAATCATCTTGCCCCGTTTTGTCAAACCCAAGCCCCCAGCCTCTGCTGTTCCTCCCCACTGTCCCACTAACGTGTTTCCCCCGGCCCTACAGGGCGCGGGCTGTATCTCCCGGTGTCCGCCGTACCAGAGCATCAGCACCTACTGGTCTGATGGCCTTCGCGCCTCTCCGAGGCGCCTTTATTTATTCATTACACAGATGGGCAAGGAGCGTCTGCTCTGTGTTGGGCACAGAGCGCACTGGGAAGGGGGCAGACAGGGTCTCTGCTCAGAGACAGGCAGGTAGCCCTGGCTGAGGTGCCCGCCTCTCCTCTAGCCCCTCCTCTGATCCCGCCTCGCTTCCGTCAAGGTCAGCTCGCCCTTGCTGGCAGGTGGGCCTCGGTGTGAGCGCCCTGAGTCCCAGGTCAAGGAGTGGGTGGCCAGGGTGCCCCGCCCCTCCCCTCCCCCTTTGCCCCGTCCCTGTCAGGCCCCTCCCCTTTGACTCCGTCCTTCAGGCCCTTTTCGCCCCTCCCCTCCCGCTCTCGCCCCTCCTCTCTCTTCCTGAATGGTCCTGCCTCTCTGGCCCCGCCCCCTGCCCCACCTTTCCAAATCCGGCCCCTCCCCTCCATCTGCCCCCGCCCCTCCCTCCCTGGCCCCTCTCCTCTCTCTGGCCCCGCCCCCTCCTGCCCCACTCCCCTCCGCCGCCCGCCTGAGCCAGCGTGATTTATAAGGCCGTCTGGGCGGTGACCTATAAACCCTGTTCTTCAGAGGGTGCCTGCTCTTGGATTAAATGCCTCTGAAAAGAGCCTCTGCCTCAGAAGTGTCATGTAGAATGTTTCCGCGGACGGAGAACATGACCTTTAAAACCCCAAGTAAAGGAATCAAAGCTACCAGGAGGAGAAGGATGGGGCAGGCGGGCTTTACGACCCCTCCCCCGACCCGCTCAGGGCTGGGGGCTTGCGGTTCCCAGAGGGGTGGAGGCGCTGGGGGCGCCCTTTGGGGACGAGAGGTAGCGATTTGCACCCCGATGCCCGCTCCTGCGGGTGCTCGCCAATCCTGGGTGAAAAGCGAGTGGGTGGGAAATGTTCCTCACCAAGTCCGGACCCCTGATGGCCTTAGTGGGGAAAGATGGCCCCCTGGGGGATGGTGGGGGGCTCCTCATGAAGGCTGGGGCGTCCTGCTTCATCCTGATGTTACCCGAACTTAGCCTGAGACTGCCCTGGGTAGGGCCCGGTGCCTGGGTGGCGGCCCAGGGTTCTGGGAGCCTGGGTAGGGGTGCAGCATTTGGGGGGCTCTGGGTGTCCCTTCTGCAGTGACTTGGGGGACTGGCAAAGAGCCTGGGAGAATCACTGTACCTCAGTCCCCCATGTCGTCTGAGACCGCGGGTCTTTCTTGCTTGGGTGGAAGATGTGCTGGTGGTGGCTGCTTCCCTCCAGTGTAGGAGAGCAGTGGCTGCTCTGTGGTCCACATGGGCGCTTTACACTAAGGGGCTGCATTGTCTCACTCTCCTGCTCCCAGAGGCAATGGTCGTACATAGAAAGGTGACTGACTCACTCATTCCTGTCTACATTTTTGTAGGAAACGTTTGCAGACATCGTTTTGCTTTGGTCCCTGTGCAGTGCGTAGACGGGTGGCTGGATTCTCTTCTCCACCCGGCCCCTTGGTGGAAGCAGTTAGTGTGTCTTGCTCATGGGATGCCACCAGGAATTCTCTGGAAGGAGGACCAAGGGGTTTCTCTGCGAAGATGAATCAGTCGCGGGCCTGTGGGCCTTTGTGGCTGAACGCAGGGGACTGTCTTCTATCATGTCATCTTCTGGAAGGGCTCACGGAGGGGAGGCTGGGTCAGCCAGGGAAAGAGCTGTCTGGTGTTGGGGGGTTTGAGGCCCTCCTCCAAGGATCTCAGAGCGGCAGGTGGAGGTTTCGTTGTGTTCAGAGAGGAAGGGTCTTGTCTTGGTGAGCTGCCCCGTCCTCTCTTACCTGGGTGCATAGTGCCAGGAGGGAAGAGAGACAGGTTTCTCCACCAAGGCACAGAGTGGCAGGGCCCAGCAGGGAGTTGGATGGATGGATGGATGGATGTTGCTTTGGGAAAAGCAGTGTGATATGTGAGTGTGTGCACGTGTGCACATGTGCATGCTTGCATGTGTGTATTTTCATGCCCGTGTGTGCTTCTGTGTGTGTGATGTGTGCATGTATGTGCCGTGTGTGCATGAACGCGTGTACATGGCAGAGCCAGGTCTCACTGGGGGAACAGAACATTCTGTTGTTATAAATAAGGCTGATTTTTATATTCCCAGTTGACCAGGGAGGGCAACCAGCAGACCAAAGGTAATGCATTTCAGCCGCCCGTGGGGAAAGGTAAATGTGGTTTATAAGCCCCTCTGGCTCGGAGGGGGCTGGGCAGTGGTGGCAGCTGAAGCCAGGCACGCTCCAGATGGAGGGAGGGGACGGGTCGGCGATTGCGAGCCTCGATTTCTCTAAAGGAAAAAAAATGACGTGCTGCCTGTTAGCTGATCAACAGTAAGGAGAAAGTCCTGACAACAAGTAAAGAAAACTTAGCTGGCAATAAAGTAAGAGACTTTTTATGGTGGTTTTTATGGGAACAT